CGGGGCAGCGCGTGCTCCCTTCGGTAGAGCCGGGCCGTGGCGCGGAGCGCAGCGCGGGGGCAGGTTTGACACTCGTGTCCGTGTTATCCCGGGGGAAAAGGACGTGTTCCCCTCGCAAAGGCAGGCGGTCGGGGAGGTGTCACAGCCTGCAACTTCCATCTCCCGATTTTCATCTTCCTGACAAGGTGTTGCACCTAAAGCAAACTTACGTGTGATGGAGAAAGCACATGAAACTCACAAAACAGCGTGAGGCCAACCTTGAATTCGTCAGCTGTGAAACGTGTCGTTTGTTGGAAAGCTTGAGTGTCTGACTTTAATTTCTGTTTAGTTCCAGAATGGGGAGCGGTCTGCCTGCTTCCGCAGGGTCGTCTAATGATGCTGTTGTCAATCAAATACAGGTAACATGATGCAATTCTTCCTTGCTTTCAACATTTCTAAAAGCCAGAGTTACTTAAAAGCTCTCCTGGTTTATGCAAAGAAATGCTGTAAATAGTTCTGCGTGTGGAACCAGATTCTTACGTTTATTGTAATACTGGCAACGTTTATCCGCAGCCTTGGAAATTGATCTTCCTTACGCTGCATCCATTTCATGTTTTTTTTCAGACCTCTTTTCAGATTCAGTACTGCTCTCACTATTGGGGATTAAACCTTGTAAAGTTACTGGTATCAAGTAAAGTAAATATTTTAAAAGTTATTTTTTAAAGTAAACATACTGATACTAAATGACAGCCTGGAACCACCTTGAATTTACAGTAAAGTAATGGGAGTATTTCTTTCTCCCACTCAGAACCTTTTTTGTTGGTGGCACATCCCATTTGCCTTACAGACAGGGAAAGCTGTACTAAAATCACAGCATTCCTGAAAAGTTAGATACTGCTAAGTTTTAACTGATTCCAGGTATTCTACTCAAAGAATACAGCGTACCTTTTACTGAAGCTTAAGTGGAGCAGGAGTCATCACTTTTATCTTCCATGTAGTTCTCCAAACTGCTTAAGTTGTTCCTTGCTGCCTACTGCACTTGCATGCAGATGCTCTTTGGGATCTGATCAAGTGCAACTGCACTTTTTGAGGTTGAGTCTGATTTTCTCAGTAGTCAGGTGGGAAGCAATTTTTATTCTGATGTGAAAGCACGGGACGCATCCCTAAAGGAAGTGCTAGGCCAACACAGAGGTCTTCAGAACAAATGTGGGGCGGATGTTTTGCACTCACCATGTAAGGTGATGGTACCTTCTTGACAGACGCCTTGATGGAAGTCACTGTTCTGCTCCTCGTTTTTAAAGAAAAGTAGTCCATTCCTTGCCTTAAGAGTCTTGTAGTTCTAGATTAGAAGTAGGGAAAATTTAGAAGCTAAACTAGCTTTCCACTTCACCTTAAAAAAACTGAGAATCAAGTACAGTGTTTTGGAGGATTCTTCAGAAGTGGCAAGCCATTGCTGTAGCATGGCTGGGAACTCCTCAGCAGTTCCTGTTAAAAATACCTCTTACTGAGAGTAATTTCCTGTATTTGTTACCATAATAGCGGAATTTTAACTTCTGTATTTGTTTTCCTTTGACTGTTTGATACTGTTAAAATACACCGACTTAAAGCATGCTGATTGAACGTTTCTTTTGAACACACAGGAGATTATTTCAGACAACTGTGTGGCGATTTTCTCTAAAACAACATGCTCCTACTGCAAAATGGCAAAAAAAATTTTTGAGGATATGAATGTGAATTATACAGCTGTAGAACTGGACCTGAATCCAAATGGAAGTCAGTTCCAAGACATTCTTGAAGAGAAGACTGGTGGCAGAACAGTAAGTACATTTTCTCACATGGAACAAGCAAAGAACTTACACTAGACACATTCCTCATGGGTTATGACCATATCAAGTTCTTAATTTTTTTTTGAGGCAAGTAAACTTGGGATACAAGCTCCTAAATGAAAGACAAGGTACTGCAGAAGGGTTCTGTACAGTCTGTTTCTCTTGAGACCCTCTGGCTGTCCCTCTGAGGTGATCTTTTCCATACTGCTACTAAGATACTTGATGTATCAGTTTTCAGTACTCCATTGTGTTTAACACCCATCTTGTAATTTCTGAATTTTATATAGTCTCACTTGACTCAATTATTTTATTACATTCTGCCATACAGTGACTTTATCCCACTTCTGAGGGGCAACAAAGTTCCCTATCTCTGTAAATATTACGGAAATTTATGGGTTGTACAGTAATATTAAATACGCATATATAAGAATGTAACTATTGTCTGTATACTAAAGTCCATGTGGGCTTGCTTAGATTTTTATCTTTTTTCAAGGAACTAACTAATGCAATTTTCATTTTCTTGATAGGTCCCCAGAGTGTTTGTCAATGGGACTTTCATTGGAGGCGCTACAGATACCCAGAGGCTTCACGACGAAGGCAAACTGCTTCCATTAGTTCTTCAATGTCAAACGGAAAGAAATGCGTCAGCAGCCATCTAGCTTAGCTCAGTCTTCCTTGGAATAAACAAAATTTCAGACAAGTTAAAAGATCACAAAGACGTAGCACGAGCTGAACTCAGCAACTGCAGGCCATGAGATTCCTCAATTACAGATCGTTCTCTGACACAGGCTTCACGGACATGGCAAATTACTTGGTGTCCTTGCCTCAGCTTTACCACAACTGAAGCGGTGGTGAAAAACATTATGTAACTTGGGGCTCTAAGCGTGAGATAGTGATGTCATTCTATTGCTATTACATCCTGATACTATGCTTTGGAGAAGTACAGGCTGTACAAGAAGAGTAACTTTTTTTGTTGTAACTTTTTTTTTTCCTGCAAAGTAGTCTGCTTTCTAGCTTTGTTCCAACAGTTACAATAAATGTTTACTTTAATTTAATGGTACCTTTAAATTTCGTTCTTACCTGCATGTCAAAGTGTAATAATGAAGAAAGCATGAAGCAAACCAAGTTTGTAGTGATACTGCTGTGTGCGTGTCTGCCTATCTTAAATTTCAGTGCCTGGCCAGCTAGATACCAAATTGTATGTCCAGTTTCTACAGAAAAGGGAATAAAGACTCTTGCAGCTTGAGAGGGGTAGGTAATTGCTTTCATCTTTACTCTGCACTATGAAGTATCAGTCTATACAGTGTCATTCAGGAATATCCTGCAGGAGCCAGACAGCTGCTGTCACTAAACTCTGCAGCTACAACCTATGCTGTGATCCAACGCTATTATGAAACTTAAGACCAAGTAAAGTGGGTCTAATATGCATAGAGTTTATTTCGTACTTAAATTCTACAGTCAGAATGCAGTTTGCTAGCGATTTTAACTTGCAGTTAAGCGTCTAAAAGAAGTTCAATAGTTTGAGTACAATGTACATCCAAAGTCAGACCAGGCAATGCCAAGACTCTTGGTTATTTCCATAAAGTTCATATGCAAGTAGAAAATTATATCCCGTTCTTCGGTAAAAGGGACCATTACACTACTAAAGGTGCACAGTTTAGAATAAAAAAATTAGTCAATGAAGTTTTACTTCCTTGTTGTGAATAAGACTCCTGGTATGTCCATTGCTTCCAGCACTGCATGAACTTTTTTCCCCTCAAGGGAAAAAAGCATCACATTAATCTTCCAACTCCAGATAACTAGGACTCGTAAGAGTATCATTTCAATTCGACAGCTTCATTTTTGTGATGCAAGTTTGAAATAAGTTTAAACCACATCATTTGTAGAAAGTCTTTAGTATACAGTTGCCTGCACTGTGCATCTTTAATGTGTAATGAGCTTATTAAACACACTGAGCTTGTTACATTTTTATTATTGCCGTTTGCTGTATTTTGTGATTTTCACCACTGCCTTTTTTACATTTTGTTTACAAGGGCACACTCATCAAGGTAAAACACACGCAAATGTGCACTTCTCCCTAAATTTATACTTAATAAAGCAATTTATTTTGCACATATAGTGGTAACTAAGTATTCTTTTTCTCTCCGTAGAATTCTTAGGCCAGTCGTGTTTTCTCAGAAGATTTAACAATAATTTTAAACCTGAAAGCTGGTAAATCCATCATGTAAAAATAATAATAGCGGTATCCAAAGGAATTTTTCAAAGATCTTTTCATTTTGTTCCCCGTTTTTGAAAAAAGTCCCAAAACAGCAGTCTAAAATAACCCTTTGAGTTCTCAGTTTCAGAAATCCCAGGGCGTTGTCACTTAAGGCAATATTCTATGCCAACAGCTGAGAAAACATACTGCATGCCTGCAGATCCAAGTGAGTGCCTGTTTGTTAAAGAAGGTATGTCTTAAGGCACTCAAAGGGTTAATTGTTTCTTTTTAACCATATTAAGGCTCCCCATCCAAATAGTTTCTCATTAATTTTGTATCATTTCATAGAAAGTAGCAGCAAGACAGTGCCTTCATTATTGGATGGCACAAACCCATGTTACGTTTAAGTTACTTAAACATGACATGGCGGTTAAAGTGTGGTTCTACTCCAGGAAAAAAAAAACCAAAACAAAACCTAAAACAGTGATTCAAAAACAGTCATTAAAAATTTCCATATTTTTTGCTTAGCATTCTCTCCAGGCCAAAGCTGTTTATCTTAAAATAACGCCTTGGCCTGGGATCTGAACCTTAAAAATTACCCACTAAAAGATTCTGTACTTAAGACATACCTGCTCATCCAGCTTCAACACCGTGCTCCTGAGGAAGTGTGAGAAACTGGAAACAAACATCAAATTATTTAACTAAGCAGACAGAGCTGTGAATGTCCATGTTTGTTGTTTTGTTTTTTGTTTTTTTTTTTTTACACAGAATTATCTTTAAGGAGTAGAACTGCACTTTTATAGGAGAATGTAATAGAAAAGACATTTTATTTGTAACTAGTTGTGCTTAACTCTAAGAAGCTGGTAACATTAGGAAAACAGCTATCATATTCATTATTTGTTAATGAAGCATTTGTAAAAGTTCTCAACATACCACGTATATATATGCAAATATATATATATTTAAACTTAAATTCAGAATGCAGAAATACCTAAAGAAACCACACTTTACAGTATCAGAGTTATAAATCCAAATGTAAGCACACATATTTAAAGACACCATACCTTCTGCTGAAATTAGCTCATCTTTAATCTCGGCTCTCAGAGCAGCACGTACATAACACACTGTCCTTCTACCCTTCCCCCCGTAACTCCTACTCAGCAATGTTGTACACGATCCTGGGTCATGGCAAGATGAAATCTCTACTGTTCCAGTAATAAAGTCATTAAAACCGCTTACTTACAGCATATTTGTCCACTGTGAACCACTGCAAATAGCCAAATAAAACCTATGAACTGATGAAATGCTTAAAGAAAATTAGAAGCGCAAGCAAGACAAATAATTCTTTGCTTAGGTTTACTTCTACGTCCTATTCTTTGAAGATTTTCTCTCATCAATACCGCAAAGAAGCTGCCCATTTATCCAGAATGTTAGTTTAAATGTTTCCCTAATTCTGCATATAACAGCAGCTGGGTAATATTTAGCAGAATGGAAAGCTCCAACCCACTGCAGTAACTCTAGAAAGAAGCTTTACATTTCAAAAGCCAATTTTAAGCGGTTATTTTATAAAAACAAAGCCATTCACAGGCAGATGTTGGATTTTTGTTAATAAACAAAGTATACTTTTGTCACTGATCTTTACACAAAGTTTTACCAAAAATCTGATAGATACAGCAAATTAAGTGTCTTATAAAAGACTTACATAATCAACGGAAAGAAAAAATTTATCTTTTTTTTTTTTAAATTAAGATAAATACTATGACATCAGTTCTGGTATAAGTTATTTAGCTAAGCTAGAACACTCAATGACAGCAAGAAGGCAGAAGAACAGAGGCAAAAAAAAGGAATAGATGAGAGCTTGTATGTGAAAAGAGATACAAGTATAGGCCGGAGGTGACAAGGAGATGGGAAAGGAGGAAAAAAGCCAACGTTAACAGAGAACAGGAAGGCAAAGCAAAAAGGTAACAAAAGAAACAAAATAAATGGAACCAATGCTAATGCGTCTGGTACGGTGGCTAGGAGTTAGGCATGTGATTAAGCAGCACAGCATTTTGCAATGGAGAAACCTATTTTCCTAGTGTTTTTACAGACAGACCCATTATTAAAATACATTTCCGAAACTGCTGGTGTTTGTTAAGCCAAGAATATATCCTTTGTTGCCAAGCCTTTTAAAGCCCTACCCAATTAAACAACAACAATGAAGAAGAACAACACAACCCCTCTAATGAGTGATGTTTAACAAATAGGTTTAACAGTGGTTTTAAGCAGCAAGATATTTTAGGGCCAGTTATTAGTGGCCCTCACATAGTGGGCACTTACTGGCCCTGCTGACTTCACATCTACACCTACTTTTAAAAGACTTCTCTTTTTCAAACACATAAGCTTGTAGGTAAAGACCCCATATTTGGCCTGTAATCCAATTCTACAAGCTTCCCAAACTCTCCTCCTTGCTACAGGTCTAAAATTCCTGACAAGAAACTGTGTTTCTTGGCAAAATTATTATTACTGTCTTTATGGAATTTATTACCCAATGCTGATGTATGCATTGCAGGATTTCTGAGAAATCCTGAGTGCCTTCTGCCCTCTCCACTTCCTTGATTGTATCCCTTCCATGAAAAAAACTGACCTTTGATGTTCACCTGTCACAGCCCTTCATTGCAGAAGGTTTTACCTCTGCTGTGCTTCCAACCATTACATCCTTTTCTTCCTTCTTAAAGCTAAAGTGCCTGAACATTATAGTCTTAGACATAATAGTCCAATACTTGAGAACTGCTACAGGGGTCACAGTGAAATGGCAGTCAAACTGAAAGCCTATTCATTCTGGTAGATATCAGGAAACCTGCATTCACCCAGTCTACAGCTGCACTCTGCATTTAGACTTTTTTTTTATGTATTGAATAAACTTCACTATCTTTAAACTTGTCCCTGTTCAATTTTTGCTGGTAATCTGCAGTGCACAATCATAGCCCCATTTTTGTTTTGTTAGTCAGAGTGTTCCTCCAATGCAAACAACACTATTAACTTGAAAGAGTCCGTGTCTGCTCTTTTGTGAAAGAGTAGGTTATTTATTGCGTGCTGAACTAATGCTTAAGCTTAGCAACGTTGTCTTAGCTCACCTCCCCCCACCCCAAACATTACAGTAATTATTGCCTCTTTACATGTCCAGATATCATTTTGGAAATTATCAGGTTAATAACTAAAGACTAAAATCAGGGCAAATTTATGTTATGGCAAACAAGTTACGCTGTCCTCCAAAATTCAGTATTTGGGCAGGGAAGAAAGATCCAGTCTATGGAAAGGGAACATGCAGCACCTTTCTTCTATGCCCCTTACTGCAAGATACTACCAAAACCAGACAGAAAACAGTAGAAACAAAGGTCCACACACTATAAAGTTTCAGCTGTCAGCATTTACTTCAGTTTCCCCTCTCTGTGAAAATCTTAAAGGAGGAGTAGGTGACAA